GCACTCCGGTAAAAGTGGCGCAGTGCAGTCTGGTTAACTGCAATGCATTCTGGTAAAAAGTGATGAATTCGAGAATTCGTACCCCTTCTATATATTCTTCTTAAATCCTGATTATGTTGCTGCTCGCTCGCTACGCTCGCTCCGCAGCAATAACTCCTCGCATTGTGAGCATGGGCGGCCTGTGATCCGGCCTGACCTCACTTTCACGCGCTTTCGTGAAGATGGAACGTGAACCAATCAAAACTTCTGATAGAATGGTAGAACGCAATTACTTAACTTGTGCATCGGAGAATATCGGTAAGGAAGATGCTCTCTCGTGCTTTTAAAGAACACCAGACGGAGCAAGCGGCTCATCGCCAAAAACAAGGTATTCCAACAAGTTTAATTTTTTCTCTGGTTCTCAAAAATCCCTTGTGTTGTAAACTAAAGCTACTAATGTTGACACAGTGAGTTTTGTTTTCCCTTAATCCTTGACGGTCTCAGGGAAATAAAACTCACTGTTTCCCCTGGGGCCAGCTATTAAGTTTTTTTTTTGCAGAACGAAGCGTAACACATCATTTAACCACTTATAATTCAATGAGATTTAAATAAGTGGCCGGGTATTTTGAAGTGTAGCCGGTGTATTCTTTAGCAGTGTCTTGTAGTCTTGACATTTGTTGCTGACCATGGATGTTTATATCTGCTCAGCTGACAAGCCAGACTCTACCACAAGCCCCCTTCCCCAGGAGGCAGATACTTTGGGTGGAGAGATGTCCACTGGGTTAAACCACGACCCTGTTTAAGAAAAGTGGCCTTGTGCATGGTGTTGCCTACTGCTCAATTTTTGACCCAAGTGGTTGTCTTTGATTCCAATTTACTGAGTAGAAAAACGGAAAAATCTTACAATCTCCCTCAAAATGTTCACCCATATGGTGATTTTATTTTATTTTGTATATTAGAAAACAATCAAGCTAACAAGTGAATAGTAGGAGCTAAGAGTATTTCAAAATATGGTCGAAAATCTGCACTTCTGGCATAACAAACACGGTAATCATGGCCATTGTGCCTTCAAAGGCAGTGCCATAAAAATTGTTCCAATCTTGCCCACAAATCGTTGCAATCGTGCCCATTTTTGTGCCTTCATAATCGTTCCTATCGTTCCCTGAAGCACGCGTATCGTGCCCTTTAGCAACTCCAAGATTTGCGTCCTGCCATTGCTTGTTTTGAGTTGTGCTTCAATTAGCCCGCAATCAGGCATTTTTTTGTGCTCACACCATGCTTGTCAAATACAAATTATCATTACAAGAATGTTGGTCCGTGAGATGCAATAAAAGTCCCAAACATAATGCAGAAAAAAGGAAGGAACACCAGTGTCCATTGATATCGAAAAGAAGAAGGCACTAAGTTGGCATCAAAAACACAGACATGTTTGCACATCACATGTTAGTAGCTGTAAGTAATTTTTTCATGCTTCTTGATATAAGCTGAACTACGATTATAGTAATTAAGTCTGCTCTTTTAACAAACCGTGACCTTATTTCTTCGTACACAGAGCAGGGCTCGAAATTGCGACCAATACAGTCGTACTTGCAACTTAACTTTACTTACCACTATTTGCGACTAGAAAAAATGAGAGTAGTCGCTAGGTTTTGCCTTGACTGACACAAATTAAAAGGGCTAGCAGTAATCTCAAAGGAAAAAGAACATTACTTTTGGATGAAAGACACAATTTATTCGAATAGAGATAATAAAACAAACCCATGATTCTTTGATCGCCAACTGGATCGCCATGTTTGATTATTCTAAGGCACACTAAAGTAAACGACTCTCTCTCCTTGAAAACTTCAAAGTGGCTACCCCTGTTCAAAATCGCACTATAATGCATTGCAAACCCTTGAGTATGTCATGTATGTCTATGGATTGTGTCTCTTCTATTTCATTTTGCAACTAAAAATTTACATTTATTTAGTGACTATTTTTTACCACTTAGTTGCCAAATGGCGACTTAAGGATTTTGTTAATTTCAAGCCCTGCGAAGAGCAAGGTGGACAAATTATTCATTTGAGGTGGGAAGATTTTCTGTCACATGCTAGGCCACAAGCTCCACAGATGGATTAAATGTCAGTTTGAGCCAAAACAGGAGTAGCTGTTTTTTAGAAAGTCACGCAACAAATAAGACTAAAATTTTACTCAGAAGATAATTACTTATTTCATGTTAATTATGGGATCTTCAAATTACTTTAATATCTTGAAGGCTTATTTGGCTGTATTTAAGATAATTTTATATAAGCTTACCTTTTTCTGATGACTGAACTCTAGCTGCTTTTTCTTGTTTATTTATTTTGTGTCCCTGACATCTCACATGGTACCACTTGTTCTACAAAACACATTTCACTTTTGTTTGACTTAATACAAGTTGATTATTTATAACTACTTCAACTCTTACATGTATCCAAGGAGAAACAGATCAGACCAGAAAGTGAGGAGGCAAATGAAACAAATGAACCTTCCTCTCCTTCACCTCAATGTTGGGATATAAATAGCGCATCTTTCCAGCTCGCTCAATGGGAAAACGCAGACTCTAGCTGCGAAATAATACAAACAAATCCAGCCGAATTATGTGCTAAGTATTTAATAAACCAAAATGGGACGACCATCTCCAAACGGGAAGGACATGCAAGGCACAACAAAATGTGGTCATCCATAGGCTTACATGTCGGGAACAATGTCTAAACACCACCGTGTTATGGACAATACTTGGGAACGATAAGGTGCACAATATGAACGATAAGGCACAATAGGAATGATAAGGCATGATGGATGGAAGGGTGAGAGTGACGTAAGGAACGATAGGAATGGGCATGATAGGCACAAAATGGACAGTAAAGTGAGGTATGCCAAGTGACGTAACATTTGTATTGATAATTCTTTAACCAAAACACATATCACCAAATAGTGAATTAAAAAAGTTAAAACAGTTTGTGTGCTCACAGTGTTCTCACTCTGTCTTAAATTCAAACAATAAAGCCAACAAAGCAAAACTCCATTTTTCGTTATAAATGCGCTGATTTGCCATCGCATTTTTAAAACTCCTATAACTTTAATTTTGTGCGAGCATCATGAAAGATGTTTACATTTTTGAGATGCACATTCTTTGTAGAAGAAGTCTGCCAATTTTCATGCATTTATACTCCTGGAGATCTGTCACGTGTCATCTTGTCCTCAAAGTGACTGACTGACAGGCTGACTGACTGACTGACTGACTGACAATCACGATATGCTGCTGACTTAGGGGTCTGTATGCATGAAATGCATAAGACCCAAAAAATGATTGGACTTTGATGGAGTTTGATTTTTGTTTGTTTGTTTGTTTCATTTGGTTTAATCGAGTACGCTGGGGCACATGTCATTAAGTTTCAATCTTTTTTGCCATACATCGTAAGAAAGCAATTTGAATTTAACTTTGACATGTATTAAATTCCTTTTACTCTAGCTTATTACTGAAGAGAAACATAATTTTTGAAGTGAAAACAATGAAACATTCATTGAGATAAGAAATGAGTTTGTTGAAAGAATTTCTGACCACAGATTGCATTACTGTGACATATTAAAATTTTTCATATCTTGTACGATCATGTAGAACATTTGAGACGAGAAGCTGTGATAGCATCTTCAAGGCTGACATACAAACTTATGGACACTCTGAACACTGGGTAAGTGAGGTAACTCTATTTCCCAATTCTTGCATGTAGATCACCAAGCTACAATAATACAGAATAAATATCCAGTTTTGGTTCCACTCTTAAAAGGTTTCATTTTCAAATTTTGAACTCTGTATAATTAATATGTAATTATTAATTTATGGTACAGTGTGATTGCAAAGTAAATTGCGTTAGGAACTAGTTGTCAAGAATTAATTAGTTATTTTTGTCTAAGGCATGACCATTAGCCAGCCAGTGTCACTCATTTCTGATCAATAACAGAGTCTGCATACTAGTTAGGCAAGGCTTTCTTGTGGTATATCAGGGAATATCACTCAACTCACTTCTATTTTCTTGGTATACACATGAGCCTTTAATTTGCCGTGTTGAAATATTCCATGAACATCTTGTTTACTTAAATTCTATATTGTGGTGCCAGTCCCAGTGTCATCTCAATACCAAATATATCTTAATTATGTCCTGCTTTGGACAACTTTGACTTCATACCAGTGCAAAGTGTAAATGATGATTCAGGGAATCACCGCTACCGTCACAACGTTCGATTACAACATTTGTCCCAACATACAGCGTATACCCATCAGATACTGTCTGCCTTAACACTGTTACACTATCAAAAATAAAAATAGTAACCATTCAATAAATTAGTATAGGTAATCAAATGATTTCGAGTGTAATTTGGAATAAATAAGCACAAGTAAATTACAAAAAATTGCACGAACCCGTAGGGCGAGTGCAATTTGTAGTCTTTGAAAAATTTATGAGTGCTTATTTGTTCCAAATTGCATGAGAAAAATCATTTGATTACTGTCACGCTTCAGTATTTTCTGTGACAAATGAAGGGGCAAGCTACTTCAACTTTATTGGATGAAAATTTGACACGTGAATTCAAGCGTAAAAATTCATTCACCCTCTCCAAGTCATGTATGAAAACTGAGCAGTTTCTTTTAACTGTGAAAAGCAGTCTGTTTTCCCAGTTGAATTGAAGAACTTGACCCGAAAGCAAAAGAAAATCTCCCTGCAGTTTTGATGCGGGCTTCTTTACAACTGTTTTTCGAGTGTTTGAAAAACTCTGTGCCGTGTTCAAGTTTATCTTCACCGAGAAGAAACTCTTCAACCCAGCACAAGTTGCTTCAACCAAAATGCCAAGAAACGAAGTTAAAATCTGCCAAGAAACGGATTTTCTTAGCACTGGAGGACATTTATTTACTTCATCTGGTTGCTTCCTGGCTTTAACTTCTTCACTGGACATTGTACAGGTTAGATTTGCATTTGTCCCGTTTTGTTTGCGAACTATCTTACCTAATCTCTTAGCTTTGTTCTTTCGCAAAAGTAGAATGGTTGCACCTTTCATCTTCAAAATTAAGGCATGGTAGGTTCTTAGGACGTTTTGTTGGGTCCTTCTTCGCGTTTTGCTTCGTAGTACTGACGGAATTTTAAAATTGACTTTTTCAACTGGGATTGTGTCATGCCGTTGTGATCGGCTCCGGCATTCAACTCAAGTTAAACTTATATTTTTCTCCTTGCAGATTTTGTGTATATCTCTTATCTGACACACTTAGTGATAACTAGTTTGTTAATTTTTGCTGAGCTTTGAATTTTGCTTTGTTATGAAGTCTTTGTATTGAAATTTAGGTAAAGAGTTTTAATCTTCGTCTCATTTTTGTCCGCCATTTTGTTTGTCCTAGCTCAATTTTGTCGGAGCTGTCAATCATTTTTAATTTCATTGTTTTGCACTCAATGTCACTCTTTTGCACCGGTGAAATTGCACTGATCACAGATTTGGGATTAATTGACATGTTCTCGGCCTATCAGACTGCAGAAATTGTTGCTTGTATATTATTAAGTCACGAATCTGGGATATAATGGATGATTGATATTTAAAAAACTTTGTCAAGATCTAGGATCCGTGCGGGTTTTAATTTGCATGTTATTGTGTTTCACCCAAATTTATAGAGTGATGTATGGAAACACCATGTTGGTGCCCTTCCGAGGGGCACCAACATGGCAGCTGAAAAGTAACAGAAACATCTGTTATTGAGTTTTGCTATTGAACGGAAAAATTACTACCCTAGAGTTCCAATATATTGAAAGTAATAATTCTTCTAGTGCAAGAACTGTTCAGTCAGCAAAACCTTGAGTGATAACTCCTCTTTTGACCACCCCAGAGAGCCTTCTCAGGCCACCATTTTAATGTCACACAATGCATAAACTTGGAAATTCAAAAGTCCTCTATAACAAAATGAGGAACCCTATCGAGCATAAGCGTTGTAAGATGTCAAGTTCTTAGAGGGTGTTATATCTGATGAAACTAAAACTTCAGAACGATTGGTACTTTTTAATTTTGGAAAACGCTGACATCACATGAATACCGGCAATTGGTTGAAACAGTGTGCTTTATCAGAGTTCAACAGATGCACAGCGAGCTGAATTTCAAATTTTTGCTTCGGAATTTTGACAAATTTGACCCAGATTAAACGTCCCCTGTGACTCAGAGAAATGCAGTGGAAATGAGCTATTTGTCTGTGGTAAACATAGCTACCTAGAGGCCATTGTTAGCAACAGAAGTGTTAAAACTGTACTAAAATAACAAGTTTTGACAAAACGGTAAGGTCACATAGTGAAATAAACAAATTCTCAACCTAGCGAATGCTTCAAAACAAACATTGTATTTGTTACGAAGGCAGAAATCATACTTTGGAAGTAAAACAACAGAAAACACCACTGGAGCTGTCTCTGTTTATGATGACAAGCTTTAGTTTTTGTAAAAATGCTCAAACAACACTTACATGGAGTGTAGTAATGCTCATTCGCTAAATAGCGATCTCCACTCATCTTGGCAAAGTGAACCTCAACATTTACTATGTTCACCCTGTGAGTGATCAGTTGAAAGCTTGCTCTGATAATCTCTCCTGTACTTGGAGTAGGAGCAGTGGGAGCAGTTTAGTCTTTCCAACTTTGACGGCAGTGCGGGCAATCTTGCTTTAAGCCATAAATAACTGTAGCTCCTTTCAAATACAGCTAAGTGTTTTGGATTTTCATATGCAAGCTTTGTTTTTTAGTTTCAATTGGAAAAGTACACATTTCATGAGCTGTAATGCAGCTGGCTTCCTCTGGCCCAGAAACTTATAGATCCTTAAATTTGAAATAAATTACATGTAAAATGCAAACTTTGAAGGGATCATTCTTCTCTCAAAAGCAACTTGAAACTGAAAGGTCCATGGCTGAAGTCCAGTTTGTGATTGGCACCTGTTGTCTCGTTATCCAATCAAATTATTTGAACAATTCAAACAAGGATTGTGATTGGCTTATTTTAGCATGCTTAATCAGAGAACAGATGCTTGCTGACACCACTTTTTCTCTTTTGGAAAATAAAGTTTGGTTTTAAAAATTGCTGAATGTGCAGGGGAAATTAATGGATTCTTATCATAAAACAAATAAAGAAGCCTCAACTGTGCTCTGTTTTGTTGTAAAGCACTTAGGAAGAGGTAGAGCACTCAAGAATTAGGGAGAAACACTTGACTATGTCTCGTGTTTCCCCTACACTTCTTTTGTGCTCTACCGCTTCCTGCGTGCTTTACAAAAGAACAGAGCACATTCGAGGCTTCTTTATTTGTCAATTATTACCAGTATGTTATTATTGTTATTATTATTATAATTATTATTATTGTTATTGTTATAGTTATTGTTATTGTTATTGTTATTGTTATTGTTATTGTTATTATTATTATTATTATTATTATTATTATTGTTATTATTTATCCGTCATGTTAGTGTAACAAGACAGTAATGCTCTTTGATTTCGAGCTGTTACTTTTCTTACTACATAATTTGTGTATTTTTTTTTCCTTTGGAATCAACTTGCCAGGAGAAAATCTTCATGTTTTGTTGTTCTTTCCTTAGTGTAGAGCAAGCCTATATTAATCAGCGGAAATTAGAAACAGAAGCCAAGCAGCTACAGGCTCATGCAGGTACTACACGTACAGTTTTGCTGACAGTTTATAAATTATGTTTACTTTTTTAACATAATCCTCACTTGTTTGTTTTTTGTTGTGACATATTACTTTAAAGTGCTCATTCAACTGAGCCATTTTAAGACATAAAGAAGTAGTCTGTACAAGAGTGAAAATGCTGCTTACTGTTTTCAAATATATCTTATCGTTCCAAAGATATTCAAGTTTTTAAAATATGCAAATTGGCCAAATGATGACATCATATACTTGACCGAATTTTGATCAAATATGATAAACAAGGATGTCTCAGTCAATTTGTATCAGAAATGTTTAATTTTTTTCCGTAAGATTCTACTAGAGGTGCTCAGCAATATGAGCTTAACAATTTTTGTTACCATGGCAACATACTGGGTTCCAGACCTCCACAATATTAAAGGCTTTTCTGACCACATTTAGCGTTCTGTATTGATATTTGCCAAGGTGCCTCACCCGCATCATCCAGCAAGCATATAAATACGTTAGGTTGAGTTCATGGCCTTGTTTACTGTTTTTCAAGCTTAAAATCACTAACATATTGAAATCAGGCTAGAGGGGACTGGAAAAGAGTGGGTTGCCATGGGAACAGAAATTGTTATGGCTGTAGGTGTGTTGCATTTGGAACTATTAGCCTACCAAGTTTCATTGGTTTCTGCTGCAAATTGACCAAGATAGCGCTATTTATATACTTGATGTAATATTTGGTTGAGTGTATGACATCATCAGTCATCTCATTTGCATATTTTACTCATTTTTCAAACTTCAATATCTCCAGAATCAATGCAGATATTCGTAAATGGTAAACGGTATCTTTATTCTTTCGTAGAATTCTATGTGATTAACCTAAAAAATAAAGGGGTAAAAATTTGATAATAGTAGCACTTAAAAAAATCTGTCATTCTGCAGTAGTATAAAGTGTAGGATGATTGTTCCCAAGGACATGATGTTAGGATATTGACCTAATTCTTTTGTTGTGTGGTTGTAGACCAATTTATTTGTGTCATGAATATGTACTCTATTTTCTAAAAGCAATTAATATATATCTTTATTGTGACATTTGTTTGACTTTTTTTTTGCACCTTTGAGACTAAGATTCTACTTTAGTTGTCTAGTAGCTAGAGACAACTGTCATTTTACTAGTAAAACTAATTTTTCACAAGTTAAATCATTATTTTTTGCTACAGCTATTAAGACTTTCACAGTGATGCAAGCTTTTGCATTACAGTGAGTGACACTAGGCAGTGTTGGAACATCAGTCTTGATGAAGTGATTGATTGTTGTAGAACATCGCCTATTGGTACTCAAATGCTTCAGATGAAAACACTTCTGAAGGCATACTATTTAGGTACTTCAACTAAATTTAGCAAAACTAATTGCAGTTGTTAGTTGAGATGGCTGATCTGATTTATTTTATTTAGAAATACAAGGGAATTTTTCAAAAAAAACTTAAATTTCAAACTTTTTTTGTGTGTGTTTTTGAAGTGTTTTTGCTTCTTTTTTTTCATCCTCAGCACGGTTTTCTAAGCAAACAGTACAGTGGCTACAGATGTTAGAGGCATTCAATAAAGCATTAAAGGTAAATTTTATTTCTTCTGTTTTTTTTTTCTTCAGCCAGTTAATACTAATCAGAGATAAACGGTTAACTAAGGTTTTTCTTTTTTCATTTCAAAGTGTTTTTAATTTAAGACAAAAGGCATAACTTTATGTAACATGGAAACAGGCACTTTTGTTGTGTCTTGACAGAAGCATATTTATTTTATGCACAGCTTGAAATCATCTTAATCCTGCTTTTGGCAAGCTGATCCAGGGCTTAAAATTGGAAATGAATGACTGCTATTTTAACTATCAGGGGATAGAAATCACGAACGCACAATCTAATTGTTAAATAGAAAACAGATTCGCGGACTTGTAGTTTAATTGTTAATTAAAGCATAGAAGAAGTTTTGAAAGTTTCATTTCTCATTGTTGCACCGCTAAATGAAACAATTTTTGATGCAAAATGCAGCTTTAACTTTAATTGAAACAACTTTGGATGCAAAATGTAACAACTATTTAACGCAGAATGTAACGCAAAATTTGACAACAAAATGTGACAACCTTTTCGATAGATTATTTATTACTGGTCAATCTTATGAATGAAGTTGAATATAAGAAATTTTCTAAAGTCATGTGACTTCTAACGTCTCCAACTGTGACTGACAGGTGTTAGTAACTGCCTTCGGACATGTCGAGTTGTTTTTTGTTTATCGTTACAAGGTATCAAGAACATGGACGGACAGACACTTGTATCACAATTCTTTTAAAAAACGTAACTTTTCAATTCAACAAGAGTACATTTTGAATTGGTCATTTGACCAGTTAGTTTGTATAATTTGACTGACAGGAGGCGTTAATCTTGACAAGAAGGTTGATATGCCTTAATTTCCTTCTTTATATATTAAGACCATAATTGTTACATTTTGCTGAATCACATTTCGCGTTTAAGAAGCTGTTACATTTTGCGTTTAAAAGTTGTGAAAATTTGAGTTAAAGAAATTGTTACATTTTGCGTCAAAAGTTGTTGAAATTCAGGTGAATTCAATCAGTCACTCTGTATGTCACTCAGTCAGTCATTTGGTTGGTCAGACAGGCCGGCAGTCAGACAGTCAATCAATCAATCAATTTATGAAAAGATACGTTAACTAACTATAAAATAAATATAAATAAACCAAGAACTAAATGTATGAATATTTCCTGAAATACTTCGTGATAAGCCTTCAACATCACTGTTACTGTTACGCCGCAAAATGTAACAACTTTTGACGCAAACTGTAACATTAACTCGAATTGTTACAACTTTTGACGCTTAATGTAACAATTCTTTAACGCGAATTGTAACAACCCAAAATGTCACAACCTTTTCGATAAATTATTACTGACAGAGCTTAAGTTGCATTTCTATATATTCACTGTGTGCGGATGGCTAAACTTGGTCACAACAAACTTCAGCACAGCCTTAGCTATTATCCGTTGATGATCTAAACCTTATGAAGTATGGTTTTTTCGGATTCCTAAAATTAACTTAATAAACTGCTGTTTGTGTTACTATCGATGCTAATAGAGGTAAAGTGAAGGGTCGCAATATTCCCAAGTTTTCAGAATTGCGAGAGGACAAGATAAGCTGATGCGCTTGTCAGATTAGGTGGTAATGACATAAATGTGGTCTTCCTTGCCACTAACATTACATACATAAAGGAGCACTTTCGAAAATTTTATCTCTGCCGGTACCTGTAGAATGGTTACTTAAACGACTTTTACTTCTTACTTACACTTGCTTTTACTTACAATGTACTGTTGCTTTTCACATCATGAAAAAGAAAAACACACACACAGAGTGACTGTTTAAGTTAAGTCTCGCTAAAAAGCTAAAAGTGTCAAGTCATAAATTAAACTGAATTAACCTTTTAACAGGGGTAACGGAGTTGTTCTACCGCTTTACACTCTAAATTCTATGCGCTCTAAACCTTTCGAAACCAAATGATTTTATCTAATACAGTCAACTCTTTCCTAGCGACCACTTCTCGTAAGCTACCACCTCCGGTAGGTGACCACTTTTTTGGGCAAAGCATAGCTCTTAGAGGGAATTGGTTATGAAGCCCGGCAAACATCCTAGGTGCAAACAAAGATGGCAAGGTTTATGTTGGAAGGTCCACGACCGTGCACAATCTTTTGTTTTGGGCACATACACTATGCATGAATTACGTAACCAAAACGTTTCTATTGGTTAGTTCCTCAGTGCGGAGTAAACAGCTATTGTGTTTTGTGCTCGGTCAAGGCAAAAAAAAAGAGAACAAAAACATGCAACAGAGAAATTTGTCGGCGTTCATAACCATTCCTCTCTATTAACTATGCGCAAAGGTAGTGGACAAGCAATTTTCGTAGGTCATGTGACTTCTAACGTCTTCAGCTGTGACTGACAGGTGTTATTCGTGACTTCCAACATGTTGTGTATTTTGTTGTTGTTTGTCTAACGTTAGAACATATTAAGTTGCTGTCCGTCCCTATGCCAAACACCAACAATTCTTTTAAAGCAACGTAACTTTTCAATTCAACCAGAGAAAACTAAGAACTGGTCATGTAACCAGTAGATTTTTGTAATTTGACTGACAGAGCTTGTTAAGCTTGAGAAGAACCCTAATATATATGAATTTTCCTCTTTATATAAGTTGTTACATTTTGCGTTAAAAAGTAGTTACAATTCGAGTTAAAGAAATAGTTACATTCTGCGTCAAAAGTTGTTATATTTTGCGTCAATGTTACATTTTGCGTTAGTTGTCACATTTTGCGGCATAACAATCACGCTGTGGAACCTGTTTGAGAGTTCAAGAAAATCTCCTTATATCTATCATAGGAACTAGGAGATGTTGAAAATTGGTCAAGAGTTATAGAGGCAGATATGACAGCCATAGCAAGTGCCTTGGAATATGCTTATAAAGGTAAATTTTCCCTTCATTGGTCCTCCTATATGCTGCTAAAATTGAGACATCATCTTAAGCAACCTAGCTGTCCATTTGAAGTTTCCAGCTTTTCTTGAAATTCTCTTTGCTCCATACCAAAGTGACTATAATACCTTCCTGTGAGTGTCCGACAGCAAAATCAAATGGGTGCTAAAGTCGACTTTTTAATTTCTAAGTTCATCCAGTAAGAACAACCTTAGGTTGAAACTAAAGTTGACGGCAGGTAGATCTTGGTGTATTCTAAACTCACGTGTGATATGTTTCTTTGTCCTCTCAAATGGTGGTGAATTGAAGCAATACGTTTAGCCTGTATAAGATTGTCTGCCTATTTTATTCGTTGTTCAGAGTCACATTATTAGCTGTAGATCTTCTTTTGTTTGTTTGTTTGTTTATTTTTTCTTTTTATTTCAGGAGATGGGCCTAAAAGTTCATAACAGTCGTTTGTGATTGCTACCTTGAATATTGAGAGTAAAAGGCCATGATTTCCTGAGTCGGCAGAGTCTGAACGGTGCGCAAATCTTTCCACTCAGTAAACGGTGTTTACCCAAATTCTCGGTCCTATCATGGTTGTAAAGCAAAATTTATATTGTTCTGTGTAAAGTACGAAAGAATGCATTAAAAGTGTTTCCGTATAAATTAATTTTAACCTGAAGCTGTTTACATGTTCATTGTGTCGGTTACAGAGCTATTGTTGTTGGGTACCTACCTGATCGCGCTCCAATAACCTTAAAAAAACAGTAGCCACAGCGTCCTCCACACTAACTAACTGAGTTAGCCGGGTGACAGCGCAAAAAGCGGCCTTCTCACTTTTATCTCTCGTCGTTTTCGCACTGCAACTCACCAAAAACCTAGAAGACGTTACAGTAGCCACAGCTTTCAGTGAAAAACAGGGCTGCTTTATCTTTCTTTCTCTCTTTCTCTCTCCCTTTCTGTCTTTCTTCTTTTTTAAGTTTTCAATTTCCCGTAATCGCCGTAGCAATAGACTGTTTTCGATATATTAAAATTCAGCTTGGCAGTGAGGCTTAGAGGACACAAACAAAGAGAATTGAATGACATGTTTATTCATTTCTTTTGTTTGTGTCCTCAAGGCCTCACTATCAAGCTGAATTTTGATGTGTCAAAAGTGACCTATTCCGTAACAGAGAAGTACATAATCACTGTCCAACACCTGAGCTGAACCCAGTAAAATAAATAAACTTGTTCCAGTGTCATGACTCTCCACCAGTACTATCCGAGCTGGTAGTTAACAACTATGAACGATGCACTCGTAAATTTCTCAAATGACCTTTTTTTTTTTCAGGCTTTAATTTCACAACCGCTTAAGTTGTGGATTTATCTGCGATGATCAATCATGTCTTCAAAACTTTCTCTACAGTTCAAGTATATGATATTTGATATTTGATATATTCATTTGTATTCTCCACCATCTACGGGTATGTTACGAACTCACAACGTGGTTAGCTCGCGGTTGGCTTGATAGCTAAGTTGGTAGTGCACTGTACCGGTATCGCACAGGTCATGGCTTCACAGGTCATGGCTTCACGCCTGAATTTTTGATTCGTTTTCAAATTTCTCCGGCGCAGTGTGGACGGGGCCTTAGTCATAATACTCTTTCAAGTTTTTTTTCTTCAGCAAACAATTATGCTTACGTTTTCGATTAGCATAAAAAGCAGCATTCACTATGACCTAATACCAGATTTACCAGATCTTATAAGTTTAAAGATAAATAGCTGTTAATTATAATCTCGCAATTGAAGTTGTAATTACCACTCAATAAGTGATAACATTGTGTTCCCTGGTGACAGGAGGTAACATATGAGTCTTGAGCATATTTTCCCAAGGTAAAGGTTGAACGTTGCTTGCGATCAGTTGGGCATATATTGTCAAGATATATACTCTGGATTATTATTAACTGATAAGTAAGGCTGATTGGATCCTAATCGGATGTGATTATGATTTGACTGTAATAAAAGCACTTCTTTCACTTATTTTAGCTCTCAGTTCGATCAATTGGTTGCTAGTCAAATTGCTCATATAATCTGTTTAAGAGGCCTTTTCTAATAGTAGAAGTAAAACAAATTAAATGCCTTAAAACAGTCGAGTCGCATCCTGATCAAAAACAGAGCGGCCTGCCAAAAAAGATATGGAAGAGACTCTGAAGAGATTGAGTTCGTGCGGTTGAAGGTGTCTGTTTATGTAAAACACTGACTGTGATGATTTCCAACCCTGTCAATTGTCGTACATTGTGATTTGCATATCAAAAGACTTCTTACTTAATTTCTGGATGTGATGATTAGCAAATATGAAGATCTACTAATGGAACTTTGTTACGTCATGTTCAGTAAGATGAACTAGCAGTAGCAGATAAATATGTGGCTCGATGTCAAAGGAAGTATTGTAGTTATGTCATGCACACAAGGGCTGTAAATGGATTTTTAATGGCTATTGTGTGTAACAGCTGTTAAGAATTCAATTAGATGTAAAGCCGACTTGGTGGACGCGGTAGTCACTTTTGAGAACCTAGCTGTCGGATAACCCGAGAAGAACAAACTGTCAAATAAATGACCCTGTGTCCCGTTTGGAGAATCAGGAGAGGCAGACCGAAAAAGCCGAGGTATACTGCTTTGTTATCTTTTGATTTTTGACTTGGGATGAAACATTTGCTGGATAAAGTGGTTCGCGAACCTTCCAATTGAACTTATCACCAAGAAGAAAACATTCAAAACAACAACATGAAAATATGTTTTGTTAAATGCGCAAGACCTCGTCTGTTGACATTACTTCCATGCTGTGTGAATCCAGCGAGCATCACTTTGCGTCAGAACTAAGTCAAATGATTACTAAGTTGCATCATTGCTGGAACATGGTTATGTCGACACAAGCGATTATTATGTTTTACTTTAGTATAGTTCTGTTCGTCGATGTAAGGTTCTACCCAGAGATTCTCCCATTCCTCTTCTCTTATGCTCTCTTGAGGCTTCAACCGTGGCGGCCGCAAAGACTCGAATACCCAGGTTTATAATTACCAGCGGGCGGTTAACTAAATTCTCCTGTTCAAATAGTACATTATTGTTTAGCACAGTACTTCAAGAGTTACATTAATCATGATCGAAATCTGTATATGGTTGACTCGAAACCGAACGTCGGCAGATCAAATCTCGCGCGAACTAGCTTGTTTCACCCTCGGTAACTCGAACCCTCGATTATTCGACCTCTTGCTGACTGTCCAAACTCAAGGTGATCGATAAATTTTAATTCGTTCAGTGGTTAAAGTGTAATTAGTCAAAGCTCTCCAGAATCATGGACAGAAATAGACTGGATAATATGCATGCCATTTCTGAAAAGAATAGTAATTTATTGTAACTTTTAACTTGTTCTAGTTTGTTTTATTCCCTTTGGATCTGCCGTTATGATTTGCCATGTAACCAAACCTAGTTAAAACGCACTCTGTTTTATTCTCAAATTTCCGGTCATATGTCGCCATTTCCGAATAACTCGAATTCCTAATAACTCAGTTGAACCTTTCTTGACTTCCTTTTAGGCTCGAATTTTCGGGAGTCAGCAGCAATTCTTCAAGTAGCACATACTAGCAAACATGGAACGAGCTCCTTAACTTCTCGGACTTTTGAGTCGGAACATAACTGCTTTCGAAGGTCTTCAAAGTTTGAAAATCAGCAACATTGACAATATTATACGGTAAGAACGACTTAACAATATCTTGGGCTCAATACGTAATCTCTATTGCACAGAACTGCCAAATTATCTTAAAAATCAGATATTTATTTTATTTTATTTTATTTATGATCCCTGAAAGGTACATCTAACTTCTTTCCTTGCAATATTGTTGGATAGAAGTAATTATACAAGAGGATAAGTGGATATCTAAATATGCATGTAAACAACGCAAAATATCAGATATCCGAGCATTTCCTTACTAGCTATATATAAACCATAAATTGATATATCATGTCACGAACTAGTGATACATCTGCGAGGGCGTTATAGCCGTCCTTCACTTGGGCGTGGTGATGATGACGTCATATCTTTTAGCCTTGGCTGTAAAAATTAACCTTCCCCCACTGAATATTTGATGCGGCGATGTATTATGGGAGGAAAGTATACAAGCACAATACGCCTTGTATCGCGCCGTTCATAGTTCAAGCTCAATGTGTCCTGTGTTGCCGTTTACGCACAAGGTTTGTATGTATAAGTTCCTCTCTCTGTTTGAATATATTTTCGAACATCTTTACAAAGGAAGGGAAAAGCTCCTTAAAGCGAATTTTTAATCAAGAACCTAAACAAATTGATAATTGTTTATATCCGAAAGAAAGTAGAGTTTTTATCGTTTTAAACTGATCGACACTAATGTTAAACTTTTATTTAACTTTTGCTTACCTGTTTCTCATTTTGTAATTCATACTGACGCGATTCTGCTATCTAACTTACTATACAAAATCGAAAATGAACGTTAAATATCACTTCCCGGTTTATTCAAGTCATTGCTGTTATCCCTATTCTTGTGTAATTTGTTATCCCGGTTTGGTCTCGATAAACTACGTACAGTTACGGGGCGAGGAACATTTTAGATTCACGACCTTAACTGTCCAGTGGCTCTCCTTGGCATAGAATTTGTTTTACAAGCCCTTCAAGTAGACAAAATTAAAAACCGAACATAACACGAAATAGTGAAAGCCAGTGTAATATTGCATTCCTGTCAAAAATGCCGTGTGTCAATAGAAAATTAGAAAAGGTCTCTAAATAAAATCTTTTACTTTGCCGCTTCAAATCTGTTATTTTGCTAGTCCGGATTTCATGTTTGTATTTGTGTAAAGATCAAAGATAGAGGTCCGGCAAAATTTATAAATTTTAGTTGTTTTAACATTTTATTGGGATTTTTAATACAGGAACTGGAATTGGAGACAAAAGAGCACAGGAAATTGTTTTTTGTTGACGTTTAGGACCTAACAACCTAACAAGAAATAATCATTTATCCTATTTCCCAGTGCACAATTCAAAGCCGGTATCTTTCATCCATTCTTTTGTTGAATTCTCAGAAATTAGGAATAATTTCTTAATCTAGCAGAATTGTATGTAACTTAGCCTTAAATGTCTTTATTTATCCTTAAGGGTTTTTGGCAATTTCGAGACTTAAAAAAAACTTTACTCTGCATTATATTTAGCATGATAGAGCTGACATCATGCTAGGTTTTACAACAGCAATTGAACAGAGCACGTTAAAGGCATTACCTGTTGAATTACTGATTCAAGCTATATCATAATTTCCAAATCCTGTTCGTTATTAATGAAATCTGTAATGTTGCTTGATCTTGACTACGTACAAAGAATGAAAGACAAACCCAACAATAAGTTAGGATGTTTTGACTGACTGTTCATATTCAAGAGGGAGAGTCAGTTCCGAACAAAGAAATGTAAAGTACGCCTACAAAATGCTTCGTGCTTATCATCTTTCTATCGCCATTTTTCAAGGCCATTAACAAAGAACGATTGTTTTCTTTTGGAGATAACTAGTTTAAACTACATGCAGGTGCTAGAAAGAGCCGATCTTATTTGCTGTAGGAGAATAAATAAACTCTTGAGATAATGTCGCCATTCTCTGTCAGTTGAACCAAAATAACAAAACTGAATATTCAGTTTTGCTGAAAATATTCTTATCAGATAAACTCATCTGGCATATTTGTAGTTTTAACACATATGGTATTTAATAAAAAACGTTCCTCTTTAAGTATTGATTTTATTTGCCGCTTATCCTTGAAAATCATAATGTTAAATTAGATGTCATATAATTACTTTTTCGCACAAGAAATTACAATTCAGGATCTTTTAGGTGTGAAGAGTGCTTGTACAGTTAATGTGAATGGCGCCTGGTGGTCTGAAAAAACTGAGACGTAAGAATTATCACTTGTCAAAGAAAACTACGATGTCTTTATGACTCCGTTTCCTAATGATAATAACCTGAAGTCTGGGCTGAGTACATTTCATGTAGTTTTTTCCTTTTCACAGATAACTTGAGTTGAGCAGTCCCAGCAATTCTAAGCTGTTTTTACATTTTGGCGGTCTGAACACAAGTGGGAAGATCATTATTGGCGGTTCCAGTCGTCGCGGAAAAAAAGCGAAATACGAGGTAAATTTGACAAGGTTACTGCAACATGAATTGCTTGTTCAACAACACCGCTCTTGAGAACAATGTTACGAACAACTCCAGCGAATCCGTCCAATCAGGCAGCAGCAACAGTCCGGCTTTAACAGTGGTCATAGGATTGACTATCGCTAACATTCTGGCAATATTCTTCGGGACACTGGGGAACTCTCTGGTCATAATATCGATAATTATCAACCGGGGAATGCGTTCAACGACTAATTTTTTCATAGCATCGCTGGCTGGTGCGGATCTCATAGTCACGTCCACTTGTATGCCGTTGTTTTACGTGTACAATGTAGTCAAATGGCCAGTCTGGCCTTTTGGAAGCGCCGGTTGCAGGATTTTGTCCTTTTTGGTTCACATGTCAGTTATGGCGTCAGCACTGAGCTTGTTAGCCATATCTTATGATCGTTTCATCTCAGTATTTTTCCCAATGAAACGATTCATTACCCCGTCTCGCGCTAAAAAGATAGTTGCTTTTATTTGGTTTGTGTCGCCGTTTCTCCTTCTTCCTTCGCTGCTTCACCATGATACTATTTCGACGATTTACGACGGAAAGAAAGCAATTATGTGCGTAGAATCCTGGAGCACTGCAAAAGGATTGCATTCTTACCAAATGTACCGGGTATCATGTTACTTTCTCTTTCTTCTGCAAATATCAATTGTCTATTTTTTAATTGGGCACCGTTTGTACACACGTCAGCAACCTGGAGAACAAACATCTCAAAGCAGAGCGAAAGATTTGCTGAACAAACGCAAAATAATTAAAATGCTATTTCTTGTGGTAGCACTATTTACTTTGTGTTGGCTGCCGTACATTATCAACAAACTTTTGAACATTTTCCCTCCAAGGCCGGATTATGTTCCGCCAGATTTGTTTGTTTTTGTTGGAAATTTTCTGGGACTGTTGAACAGCGTCGCAAACCCTCTAGTTTATGCCGTTCTCAACAGAAATTTTAGAACGGCATTTAAAAACGCCTTGCGGTGTAACTGTAATTATGAAGTCGAAGAACGACGAAGAACTGTTAGTGTTGTTAGCAAGCAAACGCAACGGAGACAGTCAGAGAGCCTTACTGCTGACCGCATCCACAGAGGTTCACTATCAGTTTCTGACAGCCAAGTGATCAGTCATAAAGGGTCGCGTGAGATGATTGGTGATGAGGTTAGAAATCTATCAAGCATTGATCAAGAAACAGCTGTCGAGATGTCACAATTTGAGAATTGCTCTCAGCAAAATCCCTGTGTTTCACGACGAAATCCAGAGAAACGCCGAGTGAGCTTCGGAGGCGATGTTTCCACTTTCGTAGAGGACAAGGATTCAAAAGTGCCTACCTTAGAAAATGGAAGCACAAATTTGTCTAGAGAGATAATGAACGTTTCTAACGGAACTAAAAACAGGGGTGATCAGGATTCTAATTTGGGTTACTTGTCTCCTATTGACGAAAAAGGCTATGCTAACGCCAGCTTTGACCAAGAATACGACTAGATGTAACATTTGTACCCGTCATAAGATCACGGAAAATCATTGTCGAGGAACACAGAAGAAATACGAAACCTCCAATCGCCCCTTAGCGCTCGGAAATGCTGATACAGGAAATTTAGTGCTGTACGATAAAGGCAATTGACCGTCTATGTATCGGGCCTATAGGATTCCTATGGGCTGATGGTCACGGCCTTTGCCGGGAAATCACTAAAATAATAAATTTCTGGCTAGAGAAGATAAAGATTTTCAGTTTACCTTCAATCTCAGACAAAAAAACTTGGGACACGAAGCAAGTTCTCCCCTCCCCCACTTACAATGTTAATAATCAGGTGATTTTTCCCTTTTTGTCGAAGAAAAACAAAAGCGACATTTTCCAACATTGATTGAGGGGATGGGGCATACGTTATCCAGCTCAAGTGTCTCAGCTACTTTTGTCCGAGATTGTTGATCTTGTCTTGTTCTCTGACCAATATATTTGTTTAGGACATAATAAAAATTTTCGCTGGCAACTCTCTGCCCCTGGGCCCTTGACAGAAACACTCTGGTATACGTTATCGCATCACGTGATCAATTCAACCCAATCAGAACTTGTCGTTCTATAGTAACTATTCCGAGTCTTTCAAGTTTCAAATGTTTTGTAAAAAAAGCATGGTAACACTACACGCTAAAGAGATTAAGAGATTTATTATAATCGAAATATACAGGTGACTTTATTTCTCCCGCGGTGTGTAAAAGAATTAGAAAACACTGTCTCTGTGTTTTTATCGAGTTTAGTGTAAATGGTCTGCTAGCGCCGGATCTATCACGAATACAGTTACTCATTAGCTATTCTGTTGTAGGTAGTGAGTTTCTTTGTTCAGTACAGGAAAAATTGTAGTTGCTTCGTTGTGTTTTCGGAGTGTCCGTGAATTGGATTTAAATAAAGTTTTCAACGATTACTAGATTTTAACTAAAACAATTAAATCATTTGCTCTCGATTTCTATTCATGATAATTGACGAGGGCGTCAGAGAAATCTTGAGCTCATATTAATCTAATTGTTGAACAGGAAAATTCGTGAAAGTCTGGGAAACTCGAAAAATCCGTGGAGACACTCACTCAGTGCTCGTTTTTACAGCATTCCTCGTTCTCCCAAATTTCCTCTCGTGTTTCTATAATTCGAGAGAAATACGGAAAGTAGTTTCTAGTGCCACCATTTGAGTTTAACCTGGTCTGAACTTGATGAATGATTAACCTCACCAAAAAAAGTCGTCTCTAAATTGCCAATTGAAAATCACTTTGTCATTAGTGCTGAATGTTTTATTTTAGTATTTCGCTGGTAACTGTTTACCTGTTAGCTTGTAGCCTGCGAACAGGCTCCCGGCGAGGACGGAAAAAAATTTCGGCGAGCGCGAAACAGAAGAATTCGGAGAGCAAAGCGATCGGGGCGGGGATGCTTCGCTTCGTTCGGGCTCACCGGGAGCCTGTTCGCAGGCTAGTTAGCTTGTTATAATGCGAAAATGACAACAAAAATCCTTATCGAAACAAGAAAGGCTTATAGAATAAGGATTTACTTATTATGCATGTAATATGCAGATGATCTCAGTTGAGCGTAGTGGTTAAAGTTAGCAATTGTGACTGGTTCAAGCCTATTTGTGCCAATGGCATAAAATGTAAATAGTATGTTAATGCACCTTTGCTGGTCGGAAAGACTAACTCACGGGCGTTTAGCATTTAGAGTTAGGCAACGCTTTAGTATTTTAGGGTTAGTTTAGTATCTTAGGGTTAGCTTTCTGGGTATCTTAGGATTAGCTTAGGGTTACGTAGAGAATTAGGTTAGGGTCGGGTTAGTTTTCGGGTTAGGGTTAGTAATTAAATATCGCAGCAAGGGTCACCCTTGCTCGTCGCTCGTGATGTAGTTCGTTCCTTCAGTGGTGCGTGTGAATAAATGACGAGCGTTCTTGCTGTGGCTCATCTCTGAGAGGTAATGTGTTTCATTGAGATATGCAAAAGAGAAAATGATGAACTAAAAAAAGCTAAGTGGAACATCGTCATACTTTATGGATTGCCTCGTGAAGGAAGAAAGATAGAGTTAATCAGATATAAGGCACGAAGAATCATGATACATGATTAAAAAGACTCTTGAAGTTAGAGAAACAGTCACACAAAAATGCTGCCCAAAATCTTGAACATTAATCCTGTGCCAATCGTATGACGGTCAGGGTTACCGCTTAAAATTTATTTCCAGGATGATTTAATTCCACGAATACGGAATCTTGGATAAGAAGGGCGTGTTTGGACCCATCTAAAACTTTGGAATGTAAATGTAGCTTGCTCTCACAATGGTCCATAATCTTCAACTGAGTACTTGCTGCATAATACCCCGACAGCTTAAAATGCGTCTTCGTTTTCATTTTTTCTTTTTTCCAGAAAAGCTGAAATAAAAATAAACAAAACAAAAACAAAAAACAGCCAAAAGGCAAAGTCCCCCATAAAAGACAAAAAACACTGGATGGGTGGGTTACCTAAGCAGAGTAGAAGTCATTGCTCAAGCCCAGTAATAATTGCAGGTCAACAGAGAACCTGACGGTTTGGTCTCGCATTTTGTAGAGAACATACGTAAACACGATGTTGTTCCCTTATCTATTTCATCACCTGTTGATGGATCAAACAAAAAGTAATTGTAACTGTTTTAAACCTATGAATAAAATTGTAAGTATTTTAAAGCCATCTGAGACGATCAGTTTCGTAAACATCGTCTAACTTTTTTGTTTGTGCGACACTCGTATTGCGAGTGCAATGGAACGAGACCGCCCGGACTCGTCGCGATCCATTCGACACCAAGAAATTTTCGAACCTCAGCCCGGAAATTTTGGCTGAATGGATCGCCCTCTTGGTCTCACTATTTTCGAAGAGGGGGGTTGGGTTGGGCTCGCTACTACAGGGGCTCGCTACTTTCGGGATTTATAAGAGGTCACAATTTTTTTGACGATACTTTCGGGGTTGCTACTTTCAGGATTTATAAGAGGCCACAATTTTTTTGACGTTACTTTCGGGGGGTCGCTACTTTCGGGACTTATAAGAGGCCACAATTTCGCGGGGTCGTTACTTTCGGAAGTTTACGGTAATTACTGACTAAATACTGAGTGGACAATTTTCTTGATGAGCCCGGGGGGTAGGGTGGGGTATTTGCCCTCCTTTTTGTTCTCACTTCACACTATTTGTTCCACTTAGACCACTTATTTAACCTTTCCCCGGGGTGGAGGCGGTATGGGCACTACTTCGACACTGCTGGAATGGCTGATGCATTAGCGTCGGCGGGCAAATGAGACACCCAGTTATTGATCAACTTCATGATGATAAAGATAAATTAGCCGCCTTAACGAGTTAGTGAAGCTGACGCTTTGAGCGTTTGCCCGTCGTCAAAGTCAGAAAGAAGTGTGACCTGAAGGGCTAACACTCCAAAAGCCCAGCTTCACTAATAACTAAACTTCAAAAAATTCCCCAGACCCTGCAACAATCGGCTTCATATGTGGGCAGTGAAGTTTTTGCGACCACCAATGTAAAGTCAATTCTGGTGAGGTATTTATAGAATATACGTGACCGATTTTACGCCTGTGTCGATTCTTTTTCTACCGGATCTACGTCATTATAAATATCCAGGGGAAGTGGAAGAAGTAGAAGAAGTCAGTGTTACCGCCCAATCAATCCTGCTAAATATGGCAACAATACCCATATTTGGAGTGAAGGAATTCAATCATTTCCTTGGTGGAAGATCCGCTCGATACATAACTTTCGAGTTGAAGTGTATTGGTTTTCAGATTTCGTCGAATTAGTGGAAGGCTTCGCTCGTGATTTTGGTGGCAATATAAAATTAGGGTAAAGTTTCATAATATATGTCGTTGCTCGTAGATGCCAAACGATGAAAAACGCTTTGGTCGTAGTAATGCAGAGTGTGTGATAATGAATTGTTCATTTGATCGAAAATCATGCAACTATGTATAGAGTAGCTCACAATAGCTATCACTTCAAACAGTGATTGATCAGATTGGAACAAACTTTATTTAAAAGGCTAGTGTATTGACAGTAAAGTTTTCCAGTAATTAACTGTAGTTATCAATCTTAATTTAGCTTGTCTATAACTTATTTTTAAGCATATATTGCATTCTTGAGCTTCATAAGCTTAAATTTAACTTATAGTGAATTAACAATCATTACACTTTCTGGACAGTTTATCTGTTTCATGTTGATCTTGTTGCTATGTTTTGTCCATTTTTTTGTGTCTTGAGTTTCTTTGTTTTTTGTTTTTTTTGGCAGGAGTTGATAATGAAGCAGAGACTCATTCTTTATTTGGTTCTTGTTTTAACCTTCATTTCTAACATTTACAGTCAAGGTAAGTTATTAGGAAATGTCATTTTGCACCTTTTTGTGAAATAATTAATTGTTAACTATAAAAATGTGAATAATATTTTTTAATACTTTATTTACAACCACATAAGCACTTACATATTATTTTCTTTCACAAAGGAATTAGACATAAAAATGATGGAGACAAAAAAAAAATGCTTGACATAACAAAAGCTACATATAATTAATAAAGGTGAAACCAGAAATACATTTAACATGTTACTGAAGAGAGCAAGTTACATTGCTTACATATGGTAAGGATGTGGATAATGTTAGCGTGATTTGAAAAAGTTGCGCCAAAATCATGCATGGTGAAGCTAGAAACATCAAGAGACTAACACTGCTCTCTATAATTTATGAACGTGAAAAGAAAAGCCTTCCAGAACTTTGTTCTGTGTTTGAAGGTAAATGTAAAGTATAATTACATATTTTAATAAATATATATATGCTGGGGAGAGGGGCATTTGCATGACCCAAAGATGGAGTACCTAAAATATTAACATTCAATACAAAATAAAATGGAAAACTAGTAAGGTAGAAAAACGTGTTTAGAAATGTCATTTTGTGAAAAATGACAAAAGTTTCAGGCATAGCCCTTCAGTGTAGGAAGTGTTAAATAATGGAATGTTTGAAAGAAATGGAAGCTAAGGATGGGGAAACCAGATGCGCCCATGCCACTTATATGAAATGGAAAACTTAATTTAGGTTGCATCCTTTGGTTGCATAGTGTGAGCCTAAAATTGAAATTGGCGTTGATACAGTGTGTTTGTATTTGTAGGTGCAGGAAGCTGTAGAAGCTCAACAAATTGCCATGAGTGTATAGGAAAGGCTCAATGTGCCTGGTGCTCAAAGGAGGTAATTGTTCACAACATGATTTTCAGGATTTACTATCAACAGCACTATTTTTCATGTACTATAAAGTACACTGGGTCATTTTCATTGAAAAATTGTAATTTCTATTTTTTCAAAGAATGAGTAAACAATAGAAGTTGAATTTAACTTTCTGACTCCTTACATAATGATATGATGATAATAGGACGGGAAATAATGGCCCCATGGTTGCTGGTCAAGATATGTTTTGACAGCATTCAAAGCTCAGTCAAACTTCTCTTGATTGCTTTAGCATGGTTCCTGAGGTGACGTCACTAGTAGCCTGACCCAGATCCACTTGGAGTGGTTGTGAATAGAAATTACAACTTTAAACGCCTTTAGAAACTTGGGGATTTTATCAATCGCTGAAGTTATTGGGAAAAGTAGTAGATTTTATTAAAGGAAAAAAAAATTGGGGGGTTAGTGGCACTTCTCTCTAAAATTCTGTAAACCTTAATTCTCAGTCTGAACCACTCTATTGTTAAGAGACAAGGCTTTTGATAACTTAAGGAAAAAAAAGTCTGTGGGATTTTCAGAGACAAATTTACGAAAAAAACACCAACTTCTTATAAATGTTGCCTTTCTAAAACTGGTGATTTTGCAGAAAATTTGAGCAACTTGTTTGCACTATTATTGCACTTGCCAAGAAAGGAATATTGTAGTAGCTCTTTTAACAACAATGTGTGCAAGAAATGTACCAATGACAAAGCTTTTTACATCGTGGCCACTGCCCAGGTTTCTGCCCAGGTTTACTTGTTGCAGTGACAAAGTTTTGAGATAAATTTGCAAGTTTACAGCAAGTAAACAGTTCCAATAGCCAAGACAAGTTTCAAATATTTTATACCGACATGTATTTGGTAAGATTTACTGCGAATTTCATGGTACTTTGTATGTTTTTGTGAATTTTGCGGGATTTCGCGGATTTACTTGGAATTTGCAGCTCTTCCACTGCACGGAATATCAGAAGCCTGAAGAGAGGAGTCTCACAAATTGTACTTTGAAGCATGAGGGTTTTTTCACTCATGCTAGATGGGCCACATTGGCTTGACAATATCCTACTGGGGCTAGTTGTTAAAGGGGTGAAGAACTCTATCTGCCAGATAAATTGCTATCCAGTGGATATGTGTTGACAAAGAAAATAAACTGCACTTTAAAAATCCTTTGATCCACTGGGGTCTGCAATGGAGCAAGTAAGTGGATTTTGTGCTCTACCAGTACTTGGGAGGTTAATATACTAAATACAAGTTACCTACAAATAATTTTCTCTGACTACTTGATCAGTGAGTGATGTCCTTGAAGGTACTCGCTGGAGAACCATAACATGGTTTGCCACGTTTTCTGCTTGGTTTAAATGAAATTTGTTATCCAGAATTCTGTTTGCTTTTGTTTGTTCCCCTTTTCTCTGTCGTAACCTAAAACAGTTGCAAAAATCCAAATGAAACCGCTTTAAAAAGTGTCAGGTTACTACTAGTATGCTGTCATGAAGTCAAGTGTCAATACTACTGAAGATGATTTCTGCAGAACATTCGAGCATTAATGGCAAAAATTAAGTTTACAAAGAAACCTCATGGCATGGTAATATTTTGAATAAAGGTAGGAAGATCTTATTGAGACCTTAGCTCCCAAGCTGACCCCTCAAGAGAAAATTGAACTGGAAGTTATCCATATTCCTATTAAAACGGATGTTTCGCGCTAGTTGAAAACACAATAACACATGCTTTAAGCATTCTTACAAGGTTTGACATTAAATTTCTTGAGAATGCTTGGGGATTTAATTGCGGGGTCACCCGGAGAAATGAATTAATGTGAGATGTTTTAAGTAGTATCCAAAAAGTTACTGTGCTATAAGTAGATTTTTAGAAAATAATTTTTGCACTTATTGCTTGAACTTTGAGCAGAATCCATCCTAATATCTAATTAATAGTATACAACACATAGCTTGTTTTTCCTTATTTTTAGAATTTTGCATCATCCCGATGTGACTCACAAGAAAATTTGCGGAACTTAGGTTGTCCTCCTAACAATGTCTCTAACCCAATTAGCAAGTCTACAAATGAAGAGGTGAGTGTTTTTGGTGTTTTTTTCTTTTTTCTACAGATCTTTACTACAAACATATCAGAGTAGAAATATTAAATACAGAGCTTTGAAGTATGTTCGTCAATATGAATTCTAGAGATTAGCTCACTTATTTTGGTGCTACATTATAATTACAAAGAGAAGTGATTTTTTAAAACATTTATAGTAAGTGTAATAAACTGCAATTTAACATATTTCTTTACTTAGGTAACAACATACATGTTTTAAGAAATTTCAGAAATAAGAAAAGAAGAAGTTGTCATTCTAACATCATTATCAAGGCAAAATGAGAATTGACAAAAAACTGTATTTACCTAATACTAAGTAAAACAAAAGTTAATCACAGAGGAATAAAAGTGGTAAGAATGTTCTTTTCCACCAATGGAGTCAGCCAATGTGTTTGAACTAGGATTGTGTTCCTTTATGAATAGCATCTTGTTATGTATATGATTCAATCAAAGTTTCTTCAACAATGGCGCTTCCAGAATATGCAAAACTTGCTTTCTTTGAGGAGAGATGTTTGTTAATGTTTGTTGGCATTTGCAGGCATTTGTAGGTGTTTTAAATGTTTTATAGCACTTTGTTGGCATCAGTAGTTAGCATTAAAGGTGTCTTTCGGCAGTTTTTGGCTGCCAGGCATGTCTCAGTATGTATTCCTATGGTCAGTGCCCTTCAGGATACATTCCTCCTCTGAACAGTCAGCATTTTCGGTTGCTGGTTTCCCAGTCTTAGCAACAGTCAACAGTCTTCTCTCAGGTTACTGCGGAGAAAGATGTACTTTAAAGACATGAAATTCTCAACAGGAGTAGTAATTAATTGTTCAATGTTCTAGAAATATTTAATGCTGATACTGAAGCTGGCTGGAGCACAATATGTGTTTTAATCATTTACCAGAAAAAAAGCTCTGTTTGAAAGAAGCAAGTGAAATTCAGGGTTATTTCTTTTTGTACATATACACATACAGTAATTATATAATTATATAAATTGGTTTTATTTTTTATTAATCATTTAATTGTAAATTAATTATTAAATACAGAATAAAGATGTTGGAGCCACCGTGCAGGTACAGCCTCAGAGAATCAGGTTGGATCTTAGATCAGGTACATCAGTAAGCTCTTGTCTGATTCCACCATTAACCACAATTTGTCATGTTACAGTTAACACCTCAGACTTAATAATTTGCACATTAGATTATCACGCAGTCTTAATAAGTGTATGTGGAATAAGTACAATGCTTTTATTCAGACTACCACATCACCAAACAGAGTGGTGCAATTTGCAATCTTTGAAAAAAAAATTATGAAGCATATTTAGCTGATTTCATAATCATCTGATTACTTAGTATACATGATCAGATATCAATAACTTGAAAACAATTTACAGATATTTAACTTGGTTAAAATGTATTATTATGTGGCTTGAGTTTGTAGCTGATATAATGCATGCTCTGATTAGCTAATTGTAGAGCGTCATTCTCCTTTAATGCCCACGGGCTAATTATGGGTCTGCAAAAACAAAGCAAAAAGCCATATAATAAACAACTTAATAACTCCAATGTTCGGGAAAATCTTAAACCTCGGCCTTGCTGTATTGACCTTGCTATTGCTCGGTCAATACAGCAAGGTCTCAGTTTGAGATTTTCCTGTAAAGACCTCACTCTCAGTTAATAAGTAGTTAATAATGACCAATCTTCCTGACAGTGTTTTTTGAAATCTTCAAAACTAAAAACGCAACATTAATTTTTGTTGCTGTTCTACAACCATCAGGCAATCTTTGCTAATAATGTTTTGAAGTCTTACGCTTGTTTTTAATTAATAGCTATTGGTTGGGAGTATTTCACTCATTTTGAGTTATAACTGATTATTCATAATCAATTATTTTGGAAAGTTGTAAGTGAGCTGTCATGATGATCATTATTACATTCAAGTGTGGCACATAATTTCTTAATTTTTTTTACACTGCTTCGCTTAAAAATACTGAACATGTACTTCGCCAATCAGCAAAATGGTAGGTAATCTTTATTTTTCCCCAGTATCAATTCATATTAACATGCTCTTCCATCGAGCCATGTTAACTTAACTTATTAAATGATCTAAAGTTAAAAAATTAATTATCTGTACAGAATTATATTGAAAACTGTTACAAACTATTAAAAGAGCTAGAAAATGTCTCAAAAATCTCAGAATAGTCACTGTGATAAAACTAAACAAGCTGAATAGTAACATGAATTAGTAAACTGATATGAAGTTGACTCTACTGATTGCATTACAGGAGAGACCACAACAGTGAAACTTACAGTGAGGCCTGCAGAAAACTACCCTGTAGATTTGTACTACCTTATGGACATGTCATATTCTATGAAAAATGACCTGGAAAAATTAACAACCTTGGCTTCAAAAATAGGTATTTCATTGTGTAAATTACAATAATTATAATAAAACAATAATAAAATATTTTGGAACTAATCTTAATAAACACAAACACAGCATCAGGAGCAGGCATACAGTATTGTTTATTTTTGCCCGCTTTTGGATGAATAACTGGCAATCTTTGGTCTTTTGCTGTTTGCATAGTTCAGAATCTATTGCAGCTGAACATTTATTCACCTTAGTATTAAAGCTACTCATTGTCAAAGGAACATGATGTGAGAGGTGATAGTTTTTAGTTAGTCCAAAACATTTTGTTCATTTGCACCAGCTTGCAGTTTGTGAAGCATGTTCTGGACAGTGTGGTCTTTGATGAAGCCAGTTTTGGTTAAATTCGTCTCTTTCTTTGTTGCTCATTACTTTGTAGAACCTTACAAAATTTCTGTAGTTTCTCTAAAAAAATAAATGGTGGAAAAGTCAGAATTCAAGAACTTTGCCACACTTGACTGGAAAATAACTAAAAATTTGATTACGTACATGTAAACATCTTGCATGACAAAGCAGGGCACATGTATGCAACATGCTGACATAGTTCACGCATGCACAATAGGAAATCTGCAAACATCTCATCTCTCACAGAACAAAAAAGGGGGGAATCTCTGTCTCACAGGGCAACAAGGCTAAGATTTACTTAAAATCACCATGGTCAGTTATTAACCTCCAACCCTTCTTGGATTATTGACTTACATTGTAACAATGTGACTCTTTTAACCTTTCTCAGCTGCAAGCATGAGGAACATAACAACAAATTTTAAACTTGGATTTGGTTCATTTGTGGACAAGACAGTCTCTCCATATGTCAGAACTGAGTATGTAAATTGATATCCTATTTACAATGTGTACATGAAATAACATTCCGCGTGCTGTTCATGCAGCTTAATACAGCCATGTAGCTAGATAGTTTATGGTGCTGGTGATGTGAAACAACAAGTTTAACTTGAAACTCCTCAGAAAGTTTTCCTTGTTGTGCCCTCAGTAAAACACAGTCAACTATTTAGTAATAAGTATTTGTCTTCAGCAATTTTGATTGTTGTGTCTGTTTGTTGTGTAGAACAAAGAAACCATGTTTAAGTACTGCAGATACAAGCACAGTTTGTGTACCTACATATGGCTTCAGGCACATTCTTCCTTTGGTGGCTAACCCAGTTGAATTTGAGGTTTGTATACTTAATTAGAATATTTCTCCCACATAAAAGTCCTTAAATTTTAAGATAGCTCGTGTAAAAGGCATAATCAGTTTTCTGTAATTAAGCCACAAAAACCAAAAAATCTTTACTCAAAGAGAGTACTACTTTTTGAATTTTTTTTGTGTGTGACCTCAATTTAGAGCCTGGCCAATAACTAAAATCAGTCAATCAGATTGCTCATGCATGACTATTGCCCATGTCAGGTATTTTCTAAGTACATCGGTCTGGGCACTGTATGTATTATCTTGTTCAATTTTCTAGAAGTTTTGTGTCTTACTTTTCTAAAAGAATTCTTTTACTCATAAAATAATTTTTCTCTTCCATTCAACTTTTTTCCATTTAAATAACATCAAAGGTGAACAAAATGCTACTTAAGGCAGCTAACCTATTTTTTGTGGCTTATAGTTTAATGTTGCTCCAGTCTGTGATCAAGTAATTTTTCCTTGACATTTTTTGCCATAAAGTAAAACCTTCTATTAACCAAGCTTGCTCGAAACTGTACTGAGAGAATATTAGAAAATTTAAAACATAATCAAATTCTGTTACAGTACTAAACATACAGAGGTAAGAGTTATGTTAGACAGGACAGCTCAACAAGCCTTTGGTGAAAGGTACATACATGTATGAACATGTAGTTTGTAACCTAAACATAGTCCTTATGCAAACTGATGACCTTCTCATTTTGTTTTCTTTGCTATAGGACAAAGTCAAGGAACAAGTTATATCTGGTAATCTAGACGAACCTGAAGGTGGATTTGATGCTTTAATGCAAGTGGCAGTTTGCGAAAAGGTTAGTTCCATGCAGCTGTTGTCGTGTTGACAAGGTTTCTACAGCAGCTTCACAGTTATCCATCTCATGTTCATGAACACACAATGTGATGTCAATGACATGGTGTATCTTAATATTATGGAGTAAACCTTAACCTGGCTGTTGAAATCTTGGAGAATTCAATTAACCTTAATTTTATTATGCGGTATCCAACTGGTGGTGAAACTTCTTATAGACAGATTGCGAAAGCAATCCACGTTAGAAATTTGTTTATATTTTTTCTTCATGGTAGTCGCAAATTGTAACGCATGTTGTTATGGGCTACAGTTAATTATATTGTAGCCAATGGTAGCTCCTGTTGTTATTCATGCGGATTTAAGGTTGATTTTGTCGCAACATGGAAGGCTTCATGTTGTAAACTCCAAGACGGTTTCACAAGATAGACAAACCCTCAACTTGTTGCAAAATGTGAGCAAATTTTATGCGTGACAAGTTGTGAGTTTGATGAACGAACAGCAAAGCCAAAATTTGTTGCTCTAAGTAGACCCGCTCTCTACTATTCACAACAACAAAGTTCATCACGCAAGGTGAAAAACCAGAAACACCGGCCAGGTTTAGAGTTTTTGTATCAAACACATCATTGCCACCTTTAAGTGGCAATATACAAGATATGGGTTTTTGTTTCTCATATTTTGCCGCCTTCAGAACATAGTGCAACACATTCACTTTTTTTGTAGTGCATGTTAGGTGGCAGAACTGCATGTGTTCAAAGAAAATTTGAAGGTGTATTTTTAATAAAGAACCATCGAAATAACTGCTCTTGTTTAGTTATTATGAACCTGCTTTTCGTTGTTTTGAGCTTAATTTATTTTTGGTTTGCTTCGATTTGAAATATTTAAACCTGAACAAGCATTTCAAACACTTGAGGAAGGACTTATTGTTTACCCTGCAACCTACTTGATCTGACCAAATGTCTCAAATGTATGTTTTTCACGCTTCCAGATCAGACAGCAGCATCTTAAGAAACTAGCGTTCATTTTTAAGAACGAGCAAAGCCATACATAGCAAGCCGAATGAGAACTGTATGGCTCGTACAAAACTTGGAGTAACATTCGCAATAAACTGTTCAGAATAATAGAAAACACATGATATATTGATTCGAGAACATCCATGTGTTGTAATTTGATTCAGGCGACACATATGCAAATTGCGTTCTGAAAATTACTAACGTGTTGATTTCTTTTCATTCGTAGAAAGAGCGTGTTTGTTTGCTTGAGGTTATTTTATCTATTTCTGAATGAAAAGGTGTTCTTTTCCAGTATAAGTGCTGCATTAAAACGAGATTTTGAAGATGTTCATCCCAAGTATTTGCTGGCTTTACGTTAAATGTTTGGTTACAACTCTCTGAATATGTTTACATTACCTATTAACGAATTAAGGGAAATCTTGAATTTTGCTCATTATGTGACTCCTATCAAGCCAAGATCACACAGGTCATCAGGAGCTTTTTTTTATATGTGAGAAATTCCCTTCACTCTTGTATTTACTTTTTTTCCCCGATATATTTTAAGATCGTGTGGCTGCAAGTTTGTTTTTCACTTCTGAGCACGTGCAAGGTGTCGCAGAAGAATCGTTGGAAATGTCATCTTAGCATAAAGGAAAAGTGAACTGTCACAAAGGCCAAATCTTTGTTTGCAGGTGCCTTGGAAATTGGCTGGGGGAGGGGGTGGGATAACAACAACCAAGGCCAAGGTTTTCCCTTTCCTTTAGAAAAAAAAAACATTCACCATTTTCACCTAATTTCGTTATCGGACCTCACCTCTCACTCTAGGCCTCTTGTTAAGTTTTTTTTCTAAACCAAAGTGTGTAGTAAGTGTTTTTGAAAGCAGGGTTAGTAGGCTAGTTAGGTGACATGCTTGGGCTTAACTACTTTGTAGCAGTACCTTTGTTTGTAATTTTCCTTGCAAGTCAAACCTGTATTAAGTGGACACCATATTAAGGCACACTCTTTTATTAAGCAGACAGTTGCTAAGGTCAAGCCTGATACAATTCAATAAGGGTTTAAACATATTCCAAATATGGGTATCTAGTTTACTTTAAAGTTAAATATGCATTATTCTTCAACATGTTCTCTATACAAGAAATGTTTGACAAAATGAAAAGCTTGCATCAATAGTAATATGTAGTATTGGTTTTTTTTATAGATTCTAGTTTTTTTAGGTATTTTGCTAGTGTTTTAGTTTCTTAGAGTAAAATTTTAGTTTTTAGGGATAGTTTTGTAAAGCGCTTCGGGCAAATAATGGATGTATGCGCTGTATAAATGAACTATTATCATTACGATTATTATTATTATTATTGTTATCATTATCATTATCATTATCATTATTATTATTATTATTATTGTTGTTGTTGTTGTTTTTGTTCTTGTTCTTGTTCTTGTTATTATTATTGTTAACAGTAACCAACAATTTTCTTACTTTTGTAAACAAGAAGTATTGTTAAGCAGTAGTAGAACAGCTCTTGTTTGAATACTTCTATATCCAACTACTTTGGTTTGCCTTTCCATTTGATGACTGTATAATTCCAGGACCTACTTTGATTTTTTCTTGTCAAGCTAACGCCAGCATTGGTAAAGTCTCTGTAGGTCTGTGAAAATGTACTTATTGTATTGCTTTTTTAATTCAGGAAATTGGTTGGTCTGTAAATGGTACATCTCGCCGTCTGGTTATTTTTGTTACTGATGCTCCATTTCATGTAGCTGGTGACGGAAAGGTTGGTATCCCTGTTGATAACCTCACAAACACATGACAGTGTATGGATAATTTAACACAGTCATGCTGTTGCTGGGTTAGTTAGAGAGCAAAATCAAAGTTCACCAACTTTGTAAGCTATGCAGGCAATGAGCCATTACTTAAAAAATGTCTTCATCACTCCACCACAAATGCATGTGCTGGTGGAGTGCTTTTCATTGTTTACGATAGTGGTACACAAAGAGAGAGTGCTAATATTCTCACAAGGGGTGGGGGTATATTCATGCAAAATAGATGAGTTTGTTATTGTTGACAAATTCTTTAAATTTTAGGCAGCTTTATTTGTTTTAAACAAACACCTCTCAACAACAACCCATTTATTGCCACCTCCTCATAAATGTTGGGATGGGGGCTTTTAGAAGATTCACAGGAGATATTGAGCTGCTAAGTCCTAACCCATTTGTGACATTGTTTCTTTCAGCTGGGGGGTATAGTGACTCCAAATGATGGTAAATGCCACCTGAAAGACTTTAATGGAGAGTACATGTTGTATTCAAAGTCTAATGAACTGGTATGAACATTTAATGATGATAATTATACCATACCAATGCATATAGCTGCTGTGTGCTACACCGGTGTGATGGGCATTAAGTACCAATGGATGTGTTAATAATGTAGGTTAACTGGTCAGCCTTTCAAAATAGACAAAATAACATTTTCCACTACATGTAGGGGGAAAAAATCATCCCCTTATTAGCCTGTGGAAGTTAAACCCACAACTTGAATTTTCAAAATGTTACTTAAGAATGACCAGGCCAAGCTTACAGCTATGGTAAAGAAGTGTTGCACTCTAGCAATGGTGTCTGTGTTGCTCTAACAATGTTTAAAACACACTCTATTATTACTAGAAAATGTTAAAATGAAATCTCACTGTATTTTCTTGGGTCTAAAATCTGTCTAAACATGTAATTCCAGAGAAGTTAGAATTTTAGTGCTAAATGCAATATTGCAACTCAGAAACTTTGTTTGGGTTAAACTCCAACAATAAGGATTAAAGCAAATAATGAAGGCTTTCAACTGGTAAATTCTGAATGGAATGTAACATTTGGTTGGCTTTTTTGTGGAAATTTTGGATCGAGGATTACATTCCTCCCAGAATTTTTCTTTGAAAATGAAAGCCCAGCAGCAAATCTCAAATGTACATGTGAATGTGCTCAAAACTTTCCAAATTGTGCACAGTGATTAGTTAATCATGGCCCTCGAAGAAGTTTGTTGGATGGTAGGGTGAAACGCAAAGCACATTTATTTAATACTTATATATGTGAATGGAGAGTGATGACATTTGAACATTGTTTTAATATCACAGGATTATCCATCCCTTGCTCATCTTCATGATAAACTACAGCAGAGTAATGTCCTTCCAATATTTGCTGTCATTAAAGAGGTTTCAAGCCTTTATCAGGTATTTATTGATAATTTTGTTTTAAAAACAAATTTTAACATTACTGTTATTTTTGAATACCTAGTAAATGTTTACTTTTGCCAGCCAAAGACTTCCAAGGAGACTGCTTGATTTAAGCCAATTACTTAAGTTCTCTTGCTATCATTTAAGATTTCTCAGCCTTTAGAATTTTGCACATGTTTTGTTTTATAGCTATTTCCCAAAATTGCTGAAAATTGTTGAAGAACAAGACTGGTTAAACTGTCCTTAAGATTTCTTTAAGATGTGGGACAAGTTGAGGATATTTTAATATTTGTCAAAACTTTCTGAACCATACCAAAGATTGCACAGTTGATAATTCTAATATTTGTGAATATAAGTAATGTATTAGAACTGAAAATAAAATTTAAATATTACTGTTAATAATGTATTGCAATCCTACATAATTTAGGCAACACATGACATTTTTATTGGTCGTTGGTGAAACCACTCCCTTCCGAATAAAAAGCAATAATGTACATGTATGCAGCTTGGTTGAAGTTTTCGTCATAGTGGTACTATGACGAAAATCGCATCTTTCCTATCTAAGCCATTTTAAAACATAAACAAGTAGTCTGCATGAGAAGAAAAATGTTGCTTACTATTTTCAAATATCTCTTTTCATTCCAGAGATATGCAAGTTGTTAAAATATGCAAATTAGCCAAGTGATGACATCATACACTCAACTAAATACTGATCAAATATTATGAAGAAAGATATCTCGGCCAATTTGTATCAGAAGTGTTTGATTCTGTTCAGTAAGATTCTACTCAATGTGCTACACAATATGAGCTGAACAGTTTTGTTACCATGGCAACATACTGGGTTCCAGACCTCCCCAGTATTTAAGGCTTTTCTGGCCACCTTTGGTGTTCCATTTCGATATTTGCTAATGGTACCTCATGTGCCTGGTAAAGCAAGCATATAAATACATTAGCTCCAGTTCGTAGCCTCATTTCATGTTTTTCGAGCTGAAAATTACCAACATATTGAAATCAAGTGGGTGGGGACTGGAAAAGAGTCAGTTGTCATGGGAACAGAATTTTTCATAGCAGTAGGTGTGTTGCCTGTAGAACCATTAGCCTACCAAGTTTCAATGGTCTGTGCTGCAAATTGACTGAGATAGCGCTATTCATAGACTTGACATAATATTGGGTTGAGTGTATGACGTCATCAGTCATCTCATTTGCATATTCCACACATTTTTCAAACTTAAATATCTCTGGAACTAATGGACATATTTGCAAATGGTAAACTGCATTTTTATTATTTCATGGAATTCTACGTGATACACCCAAAAACTCAAGGGGTAAGAATTTGATCACAGTACCACTGAAGGTTATTTTGACAAATCTTCTCTCAGTGACTTCAGTTGTAAAGCAATGCTTTGTTTATTTGTTGAACAAGTCATGCTGATAGCTGTTGATATCTGTAGGGTGTAACGTCTATGTGGAGTGACTTAGGAGCAGTAACTGGAGAGCTGGCAGATGACTCTGCAAATGTGGTGGACCTTATTGAGAGAAAATATAAGGTGAAACTAAAACTCACTGAACAAAATTCAAACTAGCGTTCATGGCTTAAAATGTTTTGCCCTCAAGGGCCTTCTAGCATTCCTTTCTCTCCCACATTCAGCTGATAAAGACCAACATTTCATCCTGCCATGTTGTATGATCCTATGCACAGTCTCTTCCTGATGTAATCCATTCTATTTTGAGTAATATTACATATTATATTATTGTATGATCATCCTATGCACAGCCACCCTCTGATGGAATCCTGTCTATTTTGAAGTGTATTACATAATATGCTCACCCATTTCCTGAAAATAAACCTGAAAAGAATGATTTTAAACATAGTTAAGCACAAAGTTTATATTTTGAATTTTATGGTATTAACTAATGACAGAAAATAATAACAAAAAAGAAAAGCAAACAGAACCAAGATTGCAGAGGAAAAACAACAGGAAAAGTAATGATTAATTTTTAATCAATGCTTTGAAAATGTGTTTGGAATCCATGTGTAAATTTCCTTCCTGTTTCTGCTGGGATCGTCTGCATTCTTCATATCTGTGTGTCATTGTAAGATGGATCCACTTCAGAGGAACATTTCAGTTATGTTGAGGTCATTGTTTGGAGTTCATCTTAAGTTTTTTTTTTTGTTTATTATTATGTAGGAAATTGTTTCATCTGTAAGCCTGGTGTATAATGCTCCTGAGAAGGTTTCAGTTACAGTCAAAGCCAATTGTGGGTGAGTGTTATCATTTATCAAAATATTTATTTGCCTTTGAAGGCATTTACAAAGCACTTTGAAAAAATATTGTTTATTTATACTATACTTTTGTCTCCCTGTTATCCCTAAGTGAAAATATGCTTTGACTGCTTTCATTATTGGTTTACTACTCAGGTGATGCACATGATGAAGTTTTTGTAAATCATGGTTCTTGTCTGGTATAGAAACACAGTTACAATGCATAAAATGGGTTTAAAATTTATTGTTGTTGTATTTTCAGAGCTAACGCAGTCAGCGACCAAACCCAGAAGTGTTCAAATGTGAAAATTGGAGAAAAGGTAGGCTGTGACATGTTATTTGGCATAAAAGAGACTACCCGCCATAGTATGAGGTTGATGTGACTATTATTTCTCAATAAGGTTACTTTTGATGTGTCAGTCACATTGGAGCAATGCCCACAAGAACAAGCTGAATATCAGAAGAGGTCAGTTTTATATCTTAAGTCTGTCAACTAGAATGCGCGTGGAGGAAAAGATGCACATGCTAGGGAATTGTTTTATGTGTACTTGCACAGTGCGGCAAAGCAATCAGTTTCAGTTTTTCTAGAATGTTCAGTATGGTAAGAGTTAGTGTTGTTTTTCTAGTTTCACGATCCGTGTTCCAGGCTTTGGGGCTGTAGTGATGGATCTGAACTACATTTGTCAGTGTGAGTGTGAGAAGCCGAGTATGGCGGTAAGCTGAGAACATCTTCTTTGTCATTTAATGTGTTTTACCACTCACTTGGTTTGAGACTCCGTCAGAAGTTTGTTTCACAATACGCTTTGCTATTATTTTGTATTATTCATCCACATATTTTCAAGTTCGTTTTGTACATTTTTTATTGTTCCCCATGGCAGGAAGCGAACAGCACCAAATGTTCTGATGGAAATGGAACATTTGCCTGTGGACAGTGTGTTTGTAATAAAGGAAGGTAAGCTATGTTTTGATTGCACTTGAATGGTTTGTATGATTGACAACAAGTCACTCACTCGGTTGAACACTCCTGGAAAGCAAGAGATACTGTTTGACTTCTTATGTTTTAGAAGAGGTATTGAAGACAAGTGTTATCCAAACATTTTATGCATTCATTTTATGCATTTTATGGTTCAGTTAAGGATTTCATTAATTCTTTAGTCGGTATGCAGAAAACAATGTTATTAGTTGGGATGCAAACCCACAGGAGTTGACTCTTTCTTGTTTTGTTTAACAAAACTGTTATTGTTATTATACATTGAACTCACTATCTCATTTCTGATTGGCCAAAAGCATAAAGTGAATTTTCAAAATCAGTGCCTGTGACGTCATCTAGCTGCAGATTATACAATAGTCATGTCAAAGACACTCAAGGTCACGGGTAATCATGTCTTGTTTGACTGTGGTGCATGATTTCGAAGGGTAATCATGTCAAGTTCGCGCGTTTTGTGTTACTTGTTGTCAGTGAAGATGCAAAAACATGACTTCCATTTTTGAGTTATTTTTTTTGGAAAAAAAATACCTCTTAGTCGGCGCGTCAGGTATGTTATGGACGGGTCAACGGGTGAGTGAGTGAGTGAGTGAGTGAGAGATGTATGTATGTCACACCAATCAGATTGGATCTACTATGAACAGCTAATCAAATTTCTTGTTGCAAAGGTAAATGGTATGTGAGAAACACAAGGTATGTATAAACATAAGGACTTTGGTAATTGAAAAATAAAGAGTGACGTGTATGTTGCCGGTTT